CAAGAACTTCATATGCACGGCCAGTTGCAGCTGAAGCAATCTTATCACCTTTACGCAGAGCACCATCAACAATAGCAACATGGCAAATCACTCCTTTGTATTCATCATAGTAGGAATCCAAAAGCAACATCCGTACAGGTGCATCACATTTCCCAGGTGGGGAAGGTATGCGTTCAATAACAGCAGGCAATACCTGTTCAAGGCCTTTACCAGTCTTGGCAGAAGTAAGCAGAGCTTCACTTGGATCAATGTCAAACAACCTCTTCAATTGATCCTTTACATTATCTGGATCAGCAGTCGGCTGATCAATCTTGTTAATCACAGGAATGATACTCAAATTTGATTCGAAGGCAAGGTAAAAGTTTGCTATTGTTTGAGCTTGTACCCCTTGTGCTGCATCAACTACTAAAAGAGCACCCTGGCAAGCTGCAAGGGACCTGGATACCTCATAGCTGAAATCCACATGGCCTGGCGTATCAATCAGATTAAGCAAATATTTTGGCATATCTGAGTCCTGAGATGCAGTAACATGCCTATAGAACATAGTTGCTGTTTGTGCTTTGACTGTAATCCCCCTTTCTCTCTCAACCTGGTCCCCACATAGATAAATGTTACAACAGACGACACACAATATCAAACTAGACATCAAGGACTAATCCAATATCAAATCAGTTTTCTGAAAGTAATGCCCAAATCAGAGTATAAGGAAAAGGGAGTTGAGGTTGTGAAAATACACTCTTCATTAAATGTAGTTGAATCACATAATATTACAACCTAAAAAGTTGTACTATCTCAAATTCTGAAAGTTTAAAAGATGAATCCAGCAACTCTATTTGCATTCTTTGGAATAAAAAATAGACCTATTCATTTTTGGGATCTGATAACCCTCAGATGACCTGGCACGCTAAAAATGGCTTCTCATACTGATAATTGCTATACTCCCTCAGATCACAAATACTTGACGCATTTTACTTTGCACAGCTTCAATGTGTATCTTTGACCGCTAATTTCTTCTAGAATATATTCTTAAAATCCTTCAATATAAGATATTTTGCAAAGTATTTTGACAACAAGTTGACCAAATCTTGTCAAATGTATAAGACATTTAGCATTTAACTTGCACGCTTCCACACTAAATAATGTAATTGTAATTGATGTTTGCAGTTTTAAATATTTGACCAATCTTATCCTAAACAATAAGTTTATGTGACCGGAGGTAGAAAGAGTTTATACTGTAGCCTGTAGGTAAGATAAGAAATTGTAGAAGTTTCAGTCATGAAGCTACTAGCAGTATAGGCATCAACTGATATGGAATTAGCGTAACATTGTGCCCGCAAATAGACCTTGACACTTACTGGCAGTGCAATGGTAAAATCTCAAAAGGCCAAAAGGTAACAACTATTTATAAAACTAATTCAGACATCAATGCAGTTCCAGAATCTGATCACGAAAACAGTATGGAAATGGTGGCCTAACTGACTGATCACCTCTCACCATCTGATAGTTGAGCAGTAAAGGGCCAACATTTTACTTATTTCTCTAACTTATCGAACAAGAAGGAGAGTGAGCGGGAAGAATTAGCGTCGCACTTGCAGCTTGTCGAGGTACTGGGGCTGCCCATGGCCCTTATGGATGGTGCCGGTGAGCTCCAGCAGCCGGTCGGCCAGCGTCGACTTGCCGTGGTCGACGTGCGCGATGATCGAGAAGTTCCGGACCCGCTCCGGCGGGTACAGCGCCAGCTCCGACCCGGACACCGCGCCGCGCGCGCCGTGCTCCGGCGACGCCTGCGACGACAGGAGGCGCTCGGGCTGCTGGATCGCACTGTGGGAGAACGTGGGGGCAGCGACGAGGTGCCGGGAAATTCGGCGAGCGGATCGCCGGAGCGCGGCGGCGCCGGCCATTCCGAGCCGCGGGAGGGACCGGCCAGCGGCGGGAGCTAGGGTTCTGGGAGGGATTAGGCGGAAAAGGCAGATTGGTGGCGTGGAACCGGTCTATGGGTGTGTGGCTGACGTGGCAATTTGGTTCCATAATTAATTGTAAAAGTCAGTTTGATGTTGTTTTCCGGCCTCTGCGTGCGCGCGACCAAACAGAATTAAAAGTTTCAGTTTTTGGCTGAAAAAAACAAAAACTAGTAAAAAGCTAAACAATTTTCTGAGCACAAGGCACAGATTCAAATAGCAAAAGCTAAACATTAAGCCTTTTAAAAGACAATTCATCAACATTTGTATCTTCAAATAGGTTTATTATCAAAATATATTTTATAATTAATCTAGCGATATTCGTTACATGTCATAAATATTTAGTCAAACTTGAGATAGTTTGACTTGTCAGAAAAGGAGATTTATATGTTTTATGGAGGGGGTATTTTTTTCTCTTTTTTTAAATTACACAGTACAACGTAGATGCACACAACACGTACGCACATTCACCCTTATGAACACACGTACGCAAACCCTACCTCTACGAGCACATCCGAAGGACTAAACCAGCAGATCTTGAAATTCACGAAGTCACCACAAGCGCCGCTCGCTGTCGAGGGGACATCGCCTACCACTGAATGCATAGCGTTGTTAAATCCTGAAATAAATCCAAAAAAATACGAGTACATGTGCCAAGTCGAGGACTTTAACCCGGATGAACAGGTTCCACCACAAGAAACCTATAACCAATTAATCTATGATTAGTTCGCATGGATAGAGTATTTGCTAGCATCATTTAGAAAGTAAAAACTTTTAGAGTATCGGCAATGGCAGAGCTTGAGCGAAATCTCTTTTAAAGGCCCAAGGGTAAATTGGAGGGACCACTAACGATGCACAAATGATATTAGCCATGGTATGGTACAAGATATGGTGATTAAGAATTTTGAGAAGCTCGGGGGTTGTGGCCCAATTTAGTCTATTGGGCATAGCTTGTTGTTGCTGCTGTAATTTCGTAACTACCAACCATTGTCGCATCAACAGTTAATAGTGTAGCTACCTAGAAAGTATCCCCCATTTCAAATTATAAGATTTAGATATACACGATACATAGTAAAAGTATTGGATATGGAAAAGACAAAACGTTTTACAATTTGGAGCGGATGACAAAGCCTTTGTCATGTGAGGATTGATGGTAGCCATCTTAGTGTCTCGTTGTCAGTCAGTTTGGTGTAGTTTCAACTACTAACACATTAGAAATACATATAAACCCTTTTGTATGTTTATGTGATGTCAACTGCTAGCACAACTAGAAAAAACATATAAACCCTTTTGTATGTTCATGGCATGCCAAACTCTCACCCTCTCACCCTTTTAGGCCCAAGGTTCTCTCCAAAACTATGATATGGAGTCTTGACCAACTGGAGCATGGTAGTGGCTTGTTTGAAAATTAGTTCTTTTAATCTCAATTGCAAAAGAAAGATGCCTTTGCAGGCCGTAACATGGACATAATTGCAAAAAGGCCACAAGATCCACATGGTTAATACTTAATAGAGTGTTTGGATTTCTTTTGAACCAAGGACATCGAACATGGTAATACATTCACACTATACTAAGGCTCTTTTTGTATATCTTTGCATTTTTTTTCAAATTCTAGTTCTTTCTTTATATAAATGTTTTTAAACACTGCTCCTGTATCTCAATGTAAGATTTATTATTGTTTTTCATGCAACATACAATTTTTTCCATTGACTGGCTATAGAAAAATATGAATTGTTTCTTTTAAATGTACTAGTTGATTATGTAAGGTTGTTGTCTAAAAATTCCTAATATATCTACTCCTTTTTCTAATGGATAAAATTATACAATCGTTTCACTAGTTTGTTGTATTCGGTCTAGTGGAAGAGCCTAATTAGAGAGGAGAGATAACTCTTATACAGTACTAAGAAGCCAAACTGAAGTTATCATGTACACATGGTATTAGCAAAAACGAAAAAGATATATGTGCACCTACTGATTTCTTGCACGGATTAGAAGTCAAACTACTCCCTCACATAAAAAATATACTCTCTCCGCGTCAAAAAGTATGCAACTATGGGATTTAAACAAGTCAAACTAATATAACTTAACTTTATATTAAATAGTATTAACATTTATGTCTCTAACTAGGTTTGCTACGAATATATATTTCATGATTAATTCAATAATATTTATTTTGAATCATGAATATTGATATTTTTTATTATTTTGGTCAAACTTTAAATCGTTACATTTTTTATGGACGGAGGAAGCGTTATATTTCTGGCTATATGATCATGTACAACTTGGGCTATAATTGTTTATAAGAAGATAAAGTTATGATGTCTAATGAATGTATATATACGGTTGCGCAAATGTTACTCCTGACAAACAAATTATTGTCAAAGTTTTATTTTTTCTATCCTTATACCCAAAAAAAAAAAGTTTTAAATTTTCTACCATGTTTCTGCCAAAGGGTTAGCGCCACATCCCTCTCTCTGTGTCATGGGAAGGATCCAATCACCAATCAAACATTCACGCTGTCAACACCATCGTTCATCCCCAACCACTTACCATCTCACAAGCCATTCCAAATGCTGGGCATGTGTGTCAACTGCCAGAAGCCACGCATGCGTCCATGTCCATCCATGCACGCGCAAAGGGCAACTCTCCTGTCCCACCAAGCCCGTACGTCCAGCAGCTCTCGCCTGCCAGGGTGCCAGGGACGCGGACGCTCGCCGCCAAACCCGGCGAGCGGCTGCGCGCAGCAGCCGCGCGCGGATCACGGCGAGACGCACTTCCGCCTCCCCACCGCGCGCTATAAGAGGACCGACCACAAGCGCTCCACCGCGCCGGCTCCCTCCCTCCCCTCCACCTCGCCTATGTCCGCTCACCCGGGATGGCTCAGCATCCTTTGGAAGAAGTAACACTTCTCCCTGAGGCCTGAGCCACTCACCGCGGTGAGCCAATAAGCCGGCGCACGTCGCCCCGGGGCTCACGCTCACCATCGATCGAGCCCCAACCCATTTAATAATTATATAGAACAGCTAGAATCGATCATTAGAAATGGCGGGCTCCGCCGTCGTGAGGAGCCCCCTGTCCATCCTCTTCTACATCCTCGCCGCCGTGGCTGCCACCGCCGCCGCGGAGACGCCGACGACCGACGCGGCCATCGACAAGGCGTACGCGCAGCTCGTCAACGTCACCGCCAACCAGGAGTACTGGGCGGAGCGCGCCGAGGTGGCGCACGCGTACAACCGCGCGGCGTACGTGAGCGACCCAGTCGCCGTCATGGAGCGCTTCAACGACGGCGTGCGCAGGGCGACGGCGACGTCGACGCGGTCCCGGTCCCTGGCGCACAAGGCGCGGGGCCCCTGCACGGCGACCAACCCGATCGACCAGTGCTGGCGGTGCCGCGGCGACTGGGCGCGCAACCGCAAGCGCCTCGCCAGGTGCGCCATGGGCTTCGGCCACAGGGCCACGGGCGGGCTCGCCGGCAGGATCTACGTGGTGACCGACCCCCGCGACGACCCCGCCAACCTCGTCGTCCCCAGGAAGGGCACGCTCCGGTACGCCGTGATCCAGGACCGCACGCTGTGGATCACGTTCGCGCGCGGCATGGTGATCAACCTCTGCAAGGAGCTGATCGTCAGCAGCGACAAGACCATCGACGGTCGCGGCGCGCAGGTACACATCATGGGCGCGCAGATCACGCTGCAGAACGTGCACAACGTGATCCTCCACAACCTGCACATCCACGACGCCGTCCCGCGCGGCGGCGGCGTGATCAGGGACTCGAAGCACCACTCGGGCGTCCGCGGGGAGAGCGACGGCGACGGCATCTCCGTGATGGGGTCCAGCGACATCTGGATCGACCACGTGTCGATGCGCAGCTGCGCCGACGGGCTGGTGGACGTGGTGGACGGCTCCACCGCCGTGACCATCTCCAACGGCCACTTCACCAAGCACGACCACGTGATGCTGTTCGGGGCCAGCGACAACGCCGTCAAGGACAAGATGATGCAGGTCACCGTGGCGTTCAACCACTTCGGCAAGGGGCTGGTGCAGCGGATGCCCCGCTGCCGCTACGGCTTCTTCCACGTGGTGAACAACGACTACACGCACTGGCTCATGTACGCCATCGGCGGCAGCCAGAACCCCACCATCATCAGCCAGGGGAACCGCTTCCGCGCCGTCGACGACAGGAACTTCAAGGAGGTGACCAAGCGGGAGTACACGCCGTACAGCCAGTACAAGGACTGGGTGTGGAAGTCGCAGGACGACCTGTTCCTCAACGGGGCCTTCTTCAACCAGTCCGGCGGCCAGAACGAGCTCCCGTTCGACAGGCTCGACCTCATCCAGGCCAAGGGCGGCCAGTACGCCGAGTCGCTCACCAGGTACGCCGGCGCGCTCAACTGCCGCGTCGGCAAGAAGTGCTAGGGCGGCCCTGTGCATGCTAGATTATTGCTTTGATTGGGGATCGACCGGGCGATCGATGCTTCGATGCAGGCGCAGGGAGGCGTAACTCGAATGCAAGGTTGTGTTGTGTATAACTCTTGTATTTTGGAAATGCCATCTGTAATGGTCAACGACTTTGTGAGACCCAGTCCATTGGGCAAGTTTGGCCGGACCGAATCCGGGTACTGTAGCGCGACTGTAGCTGTGGAAAACGCTGTAGCGGCGAAGCGTAAATTCTAGTTTCGCCCAACCAGATTAAAAACGAAAGCGCAAGCAGGTCGCTACGAAAGCGCAAGCAGGTCGCTACGTAGGTGAGGCTCACACCTTGATAGAGTGGGGCCTGTACCATGCGCCGAGCCTGAGATATTACAAATGGTATTTAGAGTTAACTCTTGCGGTTTCACGAATGTATGGCTCGGGAGCTCAGACAGGTTGTGCATAGCTCTGTAAGAGCATGGCACTTGGGCCGGGGAGCTGGGAATACGGATGTGGTCCAGTTCGATAGTTCGACGAGGACCTCGACTCCATCGAGGGTGGGTGGATGTGAGACCCAGCCCATTATTGGGCCAAGTTGGGCCGGACCGAATCCGTACTGTAGGGACGAGTACTGTAGCGCGGAATACACTGTAGCAGCAAAGTTGTGAACTCTTTGAATTCTAAGCTCACCGAACCGGCTTAAATAGCCGGACCAAGGACACGTAATAATCTTCGGTTAACCGTTTTGCACGAAACAGGGACGAAAACACAAACGAGTTGCTACGTAAGTGAGACCCACCCCTCGGTTGAGTGGGGTCTGTGCTGTGTGCGTGCGGGGCCTGGGGTTACAGATATGTCAATCACGATTCGGTCTTTCGCTTCCTGACCGGTGGCGACTTCTGAGGTGTAACCGGATGGATTTGACTATTTGAGGCAAGGACTTGGGGCCTGTTTAGTTCCCCTACAAAACGCTAAATTTTTCAAGATTCCCCGTCACATCGAATCTTTGGACGCATGCATAAAGCATTAAATATAAATAAAAAATAAAACTAATTACACAGTTTAGACGAAATCCACGAGACGAATCTTTTAAGCCTAATTAGACTATGATTGGACACTAATTGACAGATAACAACAAAAACGCTACAGTAGCGTTTTGCCAAAAATTTTGACAACTAAACTGGGCCTTGCACAAACTTGAGAGGCCAAGGCACCAAACCTCGTGCCTGTTTAGTTCCCAAAATTTTATAAAATTTTTCAAGATTTTCCGTCACATCGAATTTTTGGACTCATGTATGAAGCATTAAATATAAATATAAATAAAAAATAAAACTAATTACACAGTTTAGACGAAATTCACGAGACGAATCCTTTAAGCCTAATTAGACTCTAATTGCCAAATAACAACGAAAATACTACAGTACCATTAAAAAAAAAATTGTCCCGTCCAAACATTTCAGTGTCTTCGTTATGCTCTGTTGCTGACAGTGACAGCTATGGAAAAGACAGAATACCGTTGTTTTCAAGTGTGAGAACTGAGAGCCCCAGTAATTCGCCACGTGCTGCCTCTTATCAAGAAGACGCCCACATTTGTGACGTTTGGTGTACAATTTTTTTCCTTGGCAATGTAACCCTTCATCACTTTTGAATCATGTAAACTTTCAAATCACTACAGGCCGTTTTGTGTCACTGAAATGAAAACTGAATACCTCCCCTCTCCTGTTGGGGGTAAAAAAAAAGAGACGACTTGAAAGTTTTCTTGAAAATATAACATTTTTTTTCACTCGAGACAATGTTTTTATCGGCCGGAAGCACACATCACAAAAAAAGCAGCATCTTTTGCAGCTTTCCCGTTCGGCTATGCTACTTTCAGCTTGTTTCAACTTATTCTCTCTCACATAATACTATTGAATCATCCGAAATAATCCAAAATCTACTGTGCAACCCATCAGCCGAACACGCCCAACCGGAACGAAACCATCCTCTGGTTCCTGATTGTTGCCATCCTCTTCATCTGAGCTCAAGACCAAATCCTCAACCCGATCCTCCTCGGCAGCAACATCATCATCCTCTCGGGGTCGCTTTTTATTCTCCTTTGGGGTTCTGCGCACCGAACAATGGTATGATAATGTGTTTTCCACAGCAAGTAAAAATGGGAAAAAGAGGGAAGGAAGAACATACTTGGGTTTCTTATTTTCAGCCAACCAGTTCTTACTGAAAGCAATAGTGCCTTCGTCATTGTCCTGCTCATCCTGTTGCTTCTGCGCTTCTGATAACCTCCGTGAGAAGGTTGAGGACTCAGCCCCCCCACACTGGTTGGCAACAAGGAATTAATGAACCCAATGCCATTAATAAGCCCTTGTTTAGTTGGAGAAATTTGGATTTTGGGGCTACTGTAGCACGTTCGTTTTTATTTGGTAAATAGTATTCAAACATGGATTAATTAGGCTCAAAACGTTCGTCTCGCAATTTTCCACCAAACTGTGCAATTAGTTTTTTTTTTCGTCTACATTTAATGATCCATGCACGGGCCGCAAACATTCGATGTGACAGGTATTGTAGCAACTTTTTAAAAGTTAGGGTGAAACTAAACAAGAACTCAGTATGCACTTCTGTCCTTACAAAATAATCATGATACATATGTTGTTGTGGTTTGTACAGACTACAAAAATGTATAGCGCGCGGCTAGATAATATAACACAAGTCGCACCTAACACAAGTCGCACCTAACTGTTACAAGCTTCTCCAAAAGGCGTGTTCCATAGCAAAATGATCTATCGGAAGAAAACAAACCTGTTTAACACTGAACAAATTCACGGCTTTGCCTACACCTCCGTCTGGACGTCCTCTAAGTTCTTTCATTTCAAGCATATCAAGCAGCAGGGAGGACACAGGAATGAAGGTACCAGTGGCTTCAGCAATACGATTAAGCATTCTGACACACCTAAGGCGCACAGGGAAGTAACGTACGCTAGGGTACAAGGCATGCCACACCATGTATTATTTGGGTCAACGGATAAGCTAGAGGTCGGAATTCTTCCTCAGAACTACATCCGCACACAACACTGGTCCAAAGCTCAAGGCAGAATATGTATTGCCAATCATAAATTTTTTGGTAAGATTTCTGCAGAAGAAAAATGCCAACTCTTTAGCAGCCAGCAACAGAAAACTGCAAGTGTTCGACAACAAAAGGTATACTATTAACACTGAGGGGGGAAAATAACATTTTGTAAAGGTGAGATTTTCTCAACAAAAGAGGTGCAAAAATAAGGGGATTTACTGTATTGGAGAAGAATAAGGGAGTTACTTAAGGTCTGAGTGTATTTCAAAGCTTATACAGTACTCCCTCCATACTGCTAAAGGAGGTCGTTCTGGGCTCAGTTTGAAATCAAGCAAAAGAAGTCGTTTTGGCTTCGAGGGAGAAAAGTGGACGCCGGTACCCCTCTGCTTTGGCTCCCGTGTCCATGGTAATAGCGCATGCGCCGCTGCATGCCGCAATTCCAGGAACCTTGACTCAGCACCTATTGCTTCGCCTCCTGCATGCTGCTATTAATCGCGCACGCCGCCGCCGCATGCCGCGATTCCAGCTCACGGTCGCTCCTCGCAGCCCGCCCCTCGCCGCTAGCTCTTCTTCTCCACGCCACACACCAGCTCGCCCTCGCTCCACGCCGCATACGGCTCGCCCTCGCCCTAGCAGTTCCATGGATGCGGCGGACTCGGACGCCGGATCGATTCGCCCCGGACTCCGTGGGCGCGGACTCGGAGATGATGGAGGAGGTTGCGGACTCAATGGCCGCGGACTCGGAGGAGATCGTTCCTGAGTCGGAGGAGATGATCGTCGCCGAGTCGCAGCAGATTCGTCGTGCCGGAGTCCCAGCAGTTCGTCGCGCCGGAGTCGCAGCAGTTCATCTCGCCGGAGTCGGAGGAGATGATCGTCGCGCCGAGTCGCAGCGATTCGTCGTGCCGGAGTCAGCAGTTCGTCGCGCGCCGGAGTCGCAGCAGTTCATCTCGCCGAGTCGGAGGAGATCGTCTCGCCGAGTCGGAGGAGATCGTGGTGCCGGATTCTTCGCCGCCGGGCGCTTTTATTTGCGGCACTGTCAAGTCGTTCATCTTAACCATGAAGCATGGGATCGTGTGCACTGCGGGCGCTATCCATGCTCTCGCTGCGGTCTCAAGCACGCGGACTACTTGTTCTTCGCTATTGTTCATGGCTTCGATTATTTCGAAAAGCGAGTTTTTCATTCGGATGTCAAGAATGTCGTGTTGAGTCGGCATGGAGCAAATTGAGATCGAACCTAGGAATATAATCCGACATTTGTAGCTGAACTAGCTAGCAAAGCATAAGCAGAACACAAGGAGACGAAACGAGCGCTCGTTTGGAAAGAAAAAGACTATTTATAGAGTGGCAAAGGCTAGCAGCACCAGCGCTTGATCGATGAAAATTGAAATAAAAAAGCGGCAGCGATCGGCGCGCATAAGGCAGCAGCAATGAAACACGGAAAAATTCGACCAAAACCGGCAGCGATCCACGCGCGCAAGCATCGCAGCGAAAAAACACGGCCAAAAATGCCACGGGTGGCCAAAACGCAGCGAACCCAGCCCTCCATGCTGCCATGCAAAATGAGCCAACAAAAATAGTCCACGGTTCGAGGAGTCGAACCAACGATCTCTGCATCGGGGGACGCAGAGGCATAGCCGCTCGGGCTACTCATCACTTCAGACAGAGGCAACCGCACCGCTATTTAATAGGGGCAGACATGGAAAAATACCCCCTATTTAATCACTCTTTGGCACTCCTTGGTATGCGCAATCATGTCCTAAACGACTTCTAATACCAGTATGGAGGGAGTACCAGTGTAGGTATTTGAGTGGCAGTATGAATAATACCTCCACTTGTTTTTTCGACGATTTGCTACTTTCTTTCTGCCTTTTGTCCTTTGCTGACTTTCAAAACAAAACAAGAGGCAAATATCTCACTGTCAGGTCATAGGTAGACAACAAAGTTCCAGTACATGGCAATGAGTTCAATGGATACCTTTGGCCCCCTTTCAGTAAGAACTCCTCTTAGGATAACCCCCAGTTGACTGGATGAAAACAAAGCCTGTGGTTAGTTAGCTGAATTTTGGAATTTAGGCTACTGTAGCACTTTTGTTTTTATTTGGCAATTAGTATTCAATCATGGACTAATTAGGCTCAAAACGTTCGTCTCGCGATTTCCAACCAAACTGTGTAATTAGTTTTTTTTCGTCTACATTTAATACTCCATGCACATATAGCAAGATTCGGCCCTTAGTTCGCGAAAAGTTGGAAATTTGGCTACTGTAGCACTTTTGTTTTTATTTGGCAATTAGTGTTCAATCATGGACTAATTAGGCTTAAAACGTTTGTCTCATAATTTCCAACCAAACTATACAATTAGTTTTTTTCGTCTATATTTAATGCTCCATACACGTATCGCAAGATTCGATGTGATATGTACTGTAGCACTTTTTTGAAAAAACTTTTCACGAACTAAATAAGGATCCGATGGGATGACTACTATAGCATTTTTGGGAATTTGGGTTTGGAATAAACGCGCGCAAAAGCATGCTGATACGCACTTTGTGGATCCAGACTATACAATTCTCTGACACAATTTCCAAGTAATTGAATGTGTTGCAGTTTTGATCCACTGTTAGATTTGGACAGTTTGCAGTTCACCGAATAAGGCATCGTTTAGATACGAAAATTTTTAGCTTTTGGTTACTGAAACACTTTCATTTGTATTTGACAAAAATTATTTAATTATAGACTATTTAGGCTTAAAAGATTCGTCTCGCCAATTACGAGCAAACTGTGCAATTAGTTATTCTTTTTACCTATATTTAATGTTCCATACATGTGCCGCAAGATTTGATGTGACGGAAAATCTTAAAAAATTTGGATTTTGGGTGGGATCTAAACAGGATTTAACCTTATAGATACCCTTGAGGCACGTATCAAGGCAATCTGAACCTACTTGAATGCACAAGTAGGCACTGCACCTCGTCCTCTAGCCCAGATATGGAGCAGAGCCTACAATTGAAGCATGCAAACAGAAGTAAGGCCCTGTGTAGATTGTAAGTTTTTTCATTCTCTCTTTTCATCATATTAAATCTTTGGACACATGTATGGAGTATTAAATATAGATAAAAAAATAACTAATTACATAGTTTGATTGTAAATTACGATACGAATCTTTTGAGCCTAGTTAGACCATGATTGGACAATAATTATCAAATACAAACGAAAGTGCTACAGTGCCAAATACTGATTTCTAACCCTAATCTAAACAAGGCCTAAATAACAAACTTGGTAGATGGACAGCAGAGCAATGCCGAAAGTAAACTCAAAGGTGGAGCAGAAATTGTAACCTACGCACCTTAACATGCTTCCATAGGAGCTGATGCTCTGACACGGTGTATAGTAAATGCTATCATTTGCTCATCGGTCATCTCTGTTATCATATGAAGCGCATTGGCAAGATAGATCCTCATAAGATTACCATGTCTCTTCCATGGCTTACTCAGCATCAGCTCACTGATTGCCTCTTTCTTCCCTCCAAAGCTTGGGGCACCAAGTAACTGACGGAGGACACTATCCATGTGTTTCAAAACAATGTGCATAACTTTATCAAGTACGCTACCAGACATGACACTGAACTTCGGAGTTGAATTGTCCCCATGATCTTCACCATAATGGCAGGCTCTGCAAAAAGCTTGAAGAATAGAACGGATAGAACCTATCTTCTCATTCTCTACTCCATCGCACCAGGAATCAACCATTTCCATTGTAATAGGTTTCACATGCTTCACGCCGTGTTTAGTTCGGGGAAGTTTGAAATTCGGGCTACTGTAGCACTTTCGTTTTTATTTGGTAATTAATGTTCAATCATTAACTAATTAGGCTCAAAACGTTCGTCTCGCAATTTCCAACCAAACTGTGCAATTAGTTTTTTTTTCATCTACATTTAATACTCCATGCATGTATCGCAAGATTCGATGTGATAACTACTGTAGCACTTTTTGAAAATTTGAGGTGGGAACTAAACACGCGCTCAGTTCCTCTATAGATACAGATTCCTCCTCGCCATAAACCCCAGTTTCCTGGTCATCCTAAATATAATATTGAACAATGACTCCACTCTCATCATTGTAGTATAGAAAACTCACAAAAAGGGACCAACTTACCTCGATTTCATCATCATCATCATCAAATCCCAACAAATCTTTATCAAACTGTTCTAAATATTTATAGAACTCAGGATCCTACATCAAATCAAAGAAGTACATAAGCCTAAAAACAACCAACATTGATATGGTGGCATGCAGCACAGGAGCAGACAGACAGAAACTAGAAAGGGGAGGAATACTTATTTCTAAGAACAAAGTATAGCACCTTGTGGGCCTTAGGCTAAACTGTGCAACCATAGTTCACATAGTTCAGGATTTAAGCAACAAATATCATAAGCGGAACACCATTACTAGACAAAAAAAAAATCTACCAGAGAATATGTTTCTAACCAATGAATGTAAATTGAGCAAGTAAGAGAAAGGAAAGTTATACCAGGGAATAAGAGTAACCAAATGTTATGAGCCTATGATGCTATGACAATGCCATTTCCACAATCTTTGAGTGGTGCAGGCGAAAATTCAAGCCATAAAGTAGAGTGTAAGTTCAAGGGATCACTTATTGGAGGATGCATGAGGTTAAATCTAATGCAACAGCAGTATAGGTCAAAACAGTTATTATGTGGCATTCCTTACTCAAATTTGCAGCATAACTACCATTACAGTATGGTTAAATTGGGAATGAAACAAACATAGAAAAACATCATTGCTCTACACAATTGTCCACCTCTCAACTTATCTCAACTTATATAACACGGTAGGCGAAAAACATCATTACACTAATACTCTTTTGCAACCAGTCACTTTATAACCTACTCTGAAATACCTACTAGCTGCAGTTTCAAATACTACATTAACTCAGCAGATTGCCAGAAGATTGCAGCCAATTTCGGAATCTGAATCAATTAAACTAGTTACTGTCCACAATGGCAACCGCACAATTTACGCTCAATAACAACGGATTACAACACTTATACTCCACTCAATTGACAGCGAAGAGAAACCGGAGGCGACAGGGACGAACCTTTTTGCTGCAGCCGCTTGAGCTGCTCCACGTGCTGCTTGGCCTTTTTCTTCGAGCTTCCACCACCACCCTCCTCCTCACTATCATCCATGAACTCCTCGTCATCCTCGTCCGAGACGGGCAAGTCCACTGATCCCCCGCCAAAACCACAGCGGGAGGAGAAGAGAACCAATCAAAATCCATCCCGAGTAAAACAAGCGCAAGAGAATAGAGTAGTAGCCCATAGAAATGCGGCTGGATGAGGAGCCCACCGTATTCGTCGGACATGGCGACAACCGCCGGCGGCGCTCTAGTTCAAGGGGAGGCGGCGGCGGCAGAGGGCGGAATCGCGGAGAGGACGGTCGTTCGGTGGCGTTTCGCGTTGGGGGTTCGCCGCCGGTTCGGGAGTCGCTCGCCAGGAAGCGGCCTGCGGGCACTGACTGGGCTGGACGACGCTGGGCGTCGGGGAGGCTACCTGGGCTGCTCCCAAAGACCTTTTTTGTTTTGTTTTTATCATTGCTCCAAGAATTCTGGGCTGCGCTGCATGCAAGACCGGGTGCGGTGGACGGGAACTACGAGGTACCGAACACGTACGGGCTTGAGAGTGAGAGGGCAGAGGGAGCGAAACGTGTCGACCATGTCGCGGCAACCCCACTCTGGGGCGATCGAGCATGCATGCACGCGGCAGCGAGTCACTCGTGATTTGTGAAGGCGTGAAGCAGGAGCTGAGCTTGAGCTAAAAAGCGCGCACTTTGCGCGACGACCGCGCCTCCTCGCCGGCGGTTCCTGTCGCCGTCGCTGGCCAACACCATACAGACCGATCCCACGCTAGCTTACACTGCTCCATTCGTCCCGCTAGCTTACACTGCTCCATCCGTCCCAAAACAAGCGTCGCTAGGATCATAAAAAATAATAAATATAAACAAGCGTCGCTAGGTTTATAGAAAATAATAATAATAATATTTATATCTTTAAATTAATTTATTATAAAAATTAATTCAATAATGTTCTAATGATACTAATTATATGTATAATGTAAATATTAATATTTTTTTTACATATTTGGTCAAACTTTAAAGCGTTCGACTCGTAACGACACTTATTTTTACATGGAGGAAGTACGTAGATTAGAGCTTACTTCGACAACTGCAGCGCAACTTGCGGCAGTGGTGTGTCAGTGTCAGACTTGGATCTAGCCTCTTGATCATAGACAATGCGAGTAATATGTCTATTTTCATAGCTTTTCTCAGTTGATACATATTTTAAACCATATATATCACAAATGTATAAAACAATTTTTAACGCAATACGATAGTAGGTGTAGTCCGTTTACATTTGATATAATGTAACAACTTCTAACTTCTACAAAAAGTTTTCAAAAACTTTGTATGCCGTTTACGATTTCGAATTTCTCTTAATTATCTTTGTGTATTTAACAACCACAAATACAAATAGGCATGATACTCGTTGACTCGGAGGGATTGAGTTGTGGAGGGAAGGGGCATGGCACAAAATACCCTGCCTCAAGACAATATTTTTTGTCACCCAATTTGAAGCATGATGTAGCCTCGTCCATCATCAGGTTGAAGCTAAAAAATGCCTTACATTGCCATTACCAAGAAGGAGCATAGCCAACAAACTAGATTGGATTGTTGAGAATAAGTAATTAATTGAGATATATATACCATCTTTGCAACAAAGAAGTTCCAAATATCTAGAGACGTGAAGGGTATTATGCTTTTAGTTGATAATAAAAACAAGATTTCCACAATTACCTCTTCTATGTAGGGACACTACCAAAAGGGCATGAACAAAAAACTAAGAAACAAATTGCTGAAGTTCCACTCGTTAAGAAGGGAGTGCTAAGGGCGTCCAGAGCAGAGCTGTAATTTCATTGGCTACAGAGGAGCCAGAGCAGCGCGCTAGCGCTACGCATCTAGCTAGTCTCGCACGGACCTCAAGAAAGCTCCCTGTCTCTCAGCTCTGATGATCTGCCTGCACTCGCTGTTTTTTATTGCTTTTAACTTCCACCTCAGCTAGGCAGTGTTTGGCTGGACCAGAATCCGGCTTGTTTTTCCAACTGAAACAGTATTTTCTCTTCCAACAAATAAATACAAACAATATTTTAGAGCGTAAACTGTACTTTTCAGTTCAGCCGAACACTGCCCCCGTTGAGGACGCCCTAAGGTAATTTCCGTCCAGTGTAACGGACAGCGGCGGAGACGCCACCCCCAATAAAACACCCCATTAATTAGCTACTTAATGTTCCAATTAACTAGTTAATGGTGTTATTTGTATTCAAAATTTCTTCTCCAATAGCATCTTATATAATTAAAATTTGGCTTTTTATTATTTTTTCATCTCTTTTGCTCCTTTTATTTATTATTTTTCTATCAAACATCTAGTTCGTCCTGACAGTGCACTCTCTAATTAGTTTGTTAAATGTAATTAGTGCTTTCTTGTTTGCTCTCCAATCGAACTCTAATAGCATTTTATATTATTTAGAATTAGTCTTCCTGTTATCTTTCTTATCTTCTTTGTTCACGTTTTACTGTGATTCTTTTTTCTAGTCTAAAAATTAGATTGATCGAGTGAACGTTAAAGACCTAGGGCTAATTTATTTTATTCATTTTTTCTCTGAAATATTTAGTGTTCGTTTTCATTTTTAGATTTCTTTTGTTACCGTAACACAACCATTTATTTGGTTGTCATGTATACTCAGTACTGGCTAAACCACCGCTTAGCGACCCCGAGTAGGCGTCGGGCTCATTAGTGAAGTGCAAAGTTTTTTTTAAATTTGTATAAAAGAGAAACACTAAAAAAAATTAGACAAATATTTCTACATAATAAGATTCGTCTAGGCATGTAAAAATTTCTAGCTCCACTACTATATATATTTTGGTCGTGTATGTATCTTCTCACGCATGATCGTTGGTTGTCGGTTTGATTCCCCGGTAACCGAGGCAAACATAGGTAACATACGTGATCAAGAAATTTCAAAGAATTCAGACATGCATGCATGTAGTGCTAACTTTTATTGTCAACGTAATCCCTTCCCTTTGACACGTATGTGAATCAAGGTTATATTTAGCAATCCCAAAACAAATCGCTCTCTGTGGCCAATGCGGATCCTTTGCTAATAACTTGGCCAGCGCACAGACTCATTATGATGTATCAAATGAAATCATGTGCGACATCTCTACCAAAATTAGTCTACAAACCTCCACCAACCTCCTGGAAAATTCGTCTATATATAAAGTTGTAGGCGCACTACATAGAAGCACAAGGATTAAAGGAAAAAAGCTACTAAGACCAGCAACAATGGCTACTAGGCAAAAGAGCATTACTTCTTTGGCTTTCATGTCATTTCTCCTTACCTTATTGCTTACAGGGTCGTCACTCCCGCTACAAGCAGCAGCGGTGGCACATCCAAAGCGTGGAGGTTGGGAAAATCCCGTTCCTCTGGGATATGCTCGTCCACCTAGGACACCTAAGCCTCCACCGAGCAACGCATACACCTCTTTTGGCTCTCAAGCTGTTGGTTCCTCTGTTGACCTTGACCAAGCAACCAAGGATTAGGACTAGGCATAGTCCACCGGCATTAGAGTACCCTTTGCAGCCACACAACTTTGGACCAAATGAGGATGTAAAATGGCATGGGTACGGTATTACATATTTGTTGGAATAAGATTAGCAATTTCTACAGTTCCTGAGTTTTATGTTTCATATGCACCCATTGTATGTTGGTTATGCATTCGAATAAGAATACATCAAGTGAAAACTCGACCCTTTACCATGTCTTCATATATTTTTATTTTTATTTGTTCACATTCAGGAGCTCCGTCATTCATCAAATTTGAAAATAAGCCCTTAAGTTCGTAATAACCATCACTACCGCCAAGGAAATACCTAAAACCGCCAAGGAATCCTTGACCACCGACTGTCAATCAATTACCAATGTAAGAATATCCATGGCCCTACACTTTCCTTGGCGGTTTCATTTTAGCACACTCAAGATAGTCCATGGCCCTCAAGGTAATTCCAGATTCTGTTAGTGCAAGATTTTCAAAAAAAATGCAGACACGCATGTAACGCTAACTTTTATTGTCAACATTACCAATGTAAGAATAAGTCTATGTAATCCCTCGAGTATTGAGGTTCGCCTTCTTAACCCGCAATATTAAAACCCGGTATTGAGCACCATGATGAACTATCCCAAGTTGTCTAAATAACTCGTCCCTAGGCGTGGTTTTGCTAATGTGTGCCAAAATTACCCATGTGGCATTGCCATGTCGTCACTGTATACTTGCACATGCATATCAATGTATTTCTACCTATCTCTCTACTCCCCTGAGTGCCCATCACTATCTCTCTCCATCACCCCAAAATCATCGCAACGAAGTAGATGTAGTCATACAGGGATGCATGGCCCATATGTGATTCATTTATTTAAGTTATTGACACTTCATGGCCATCTATATAATGTGCCACATCAACAAAATTAAAGCACCCTCCACAACACGACTCACTGGTGGATGCGAAAGGAAAAGCTCTGTGCTAGACCTCGACCCGTGCTCCTGTGTCAGCTCCTACGAGTAGGGAGAAATGGGAGCCCTCGCCAGAGGGCAAGATGAAGTTGAATGTGGATGGATCGTTTGTCGTGCAGATTGCGGAGGCACGGTGGCGGAGTGGTGATTAGGAACATCGCAGGGGAGGTCATGTTGATGGCTTGGCGATCCTTGTTTCGGTGTGCATCAGTGAACGAAGCAGAACCTCAGGCTTGTGCTGAAGGGCTTAGGTTGGCTTCCCAGTGGTGACCGAGCCCGATTATGGTGGAGTTGGACCCTCTAGAGTAATGACTGCACTAGAATCCGTCCGCATGGACCGATCAGAGCTCTGATATATCATCCTGGAGGGCAAAGAATATCTACAGACACTGGTGGAATGGAAATTCCAAAAGGTAAAGAGAGAGTGCAACAAGATGGCTCATGAGCTAGGTCATTTAGCTAGGCATAATATTCATACTTGTCGGTGTTTTGTAAACCGAACTAGTAAATTTATACGATTGTCGCGCTGCTCTAGGAAGACGATGGTAGCATCCAAAAGACACGAGGATTTATACTGGTTCAGGCCAGAGCCCTACGTCCAGTCTTAGAGATGATCGAGTACGTGTTCCTCGCTTGAATGCTCTGAAGTTCTTACAATGGGGGTGCAAGAATGGTGGAAGAGGTTGGAGAACTAGAGCTAGGAGATGGACTGCCTAAAGGGAAGCTCTAGGAGCCCTACTA